CCCTGAGCTGATGCAAGACTACACATTTTGTAACTTTTTGGAGTATTTTCAGTTAGAAAGCAGTCGGAAGCAGCTGCTGTAATCACTGCTCCATCTTCATCCACAAGCGTGGAAAGGAGCTACCAATTTTAAATCCCATGGCTGGCACAAGAAGGGTTTTTTCCCTCCCTGCAGTTTATCATTCAGTAAGTAATAAAACTGGGAAAGTCTGAGGCAAGGAGGAAAACAGGTTTCACCTTGTGCCACTAGGTGACTGGTGGTCACTGGGAGGATGTGGACCTGGGGGGTTCCTGCTGCAGCTCCTGCTCCAGCACCAGACTTTCACAGCTCCAGGCTGCAGCTCCTCTGCCAAGCTTTGATGCCTGTGTTGAAGTTTAGAAGCTCAAGTATGATGTGGTAGCTCTCACCTGCAAGTGGCCATTGTTCCTGCTGTGCAGACACCTCCTCCTCTCTCAGGGTCTCTCAACCAAGGCAGAGAGCTTGGGTGTGTGATCTGATTTGACAGTATTGATGGCAACTCATTGAACTTCCCTTTGGCTGCCTTTCTCCACAGCCTTCTGCAGGGCTTTGTGGGGCCATCACAGCTGCCAGCCTGGAGCTGATCTAGGAGAACATAGATGGGTGCCTATCCACGTTGTGTTTGATGGGCTAAGCTTAGCAGAGATTTGTTTTCAGCCCTCTTACCACAAGTTTATTTTTCAGTGAAGCTCTTAGAGTAGGGAGGGAGTGCTCCACAGACATCTCACTGGAAGTGGTGGTGTAGAGAAATGCAGAGTAAATAGAAAATCAATTAAAGAGCAGTGGTGGTTTATCAGGAGGAGGTTGGTGCTCTCTTTGATCATTGATTTTTCTAGCTGACAGCCTCTTAGCTGGCTGACCTTCGACAGCATTTTGACCCGGGGTCGTGTGGGAAGAGAATTAAGCAGGAGAAAGTGATGGTTAATAAAAGGATAGTGGGGCGTGTATATAGAATGAGTGATGAGGAAAGGAATGGTTGGTAGTGCTGAGAGTGGGAGGTTAGACCACAGTGGATTTCCTTAATATTGGTGTTAATTACTCTGGCACAATTAGCAGGTACGTATCTGCAGCAAACTCAGTGAGTGCTAAGCTAGAAAATGTGATTAGCACAAGGATGCTGTGCAGGGAGAACTGGTGTGATGGGAGTGAGGTGCAGTCCAGCATTGTGAGGTGCAAGCCCTTGAACTCCAGTGCTGAGCAGGAGTTTTCACTCTATAAAGTGGGAACTCATCCGCTGAGACCACCTGGGCAGCACGATCTTCAGATAAACCACTAAATTCATTTCCAGTTGAGGTAGGGTGTTAGTACTGCTGCACTGGGAGGTACTGGGGAAACCCTGTCTGGAGTGTGTGTGCAATTCTGCTTTTTTATTCTCCAGCAAGACTTCCTTGAGTAGGTGGGTGAAGGGCTGCTGAGGTGATGAGAGCTTATGAAGGGAGCAGGCTGGAAGAGTTGAGCTTGAGGCAACCTGTAAAAGCAGGGTTAGAGAGGGATTTTGTTGTGCTCCATAAGTATGTTGGGGAATCAGCCCTAGGAGGAAGCAGTTGAAAGAACATGTTGCCCATCTGACTCCAAGATGATCCAAGAAATCCCTCCCTAACAGAGGTGGGCAGATAAGGGATGGGATCATGACTTGAGGACCATGTCTCAGGTTCTCACTGTTTGCTGAATGACCATGAAATGACCATGTAGCACATTTGACAATCATGAGACAGAGCAGGATTTAAATTTTGAAGGATGTAGTCATGGAAGGGTCTGTGTAACACAGGATTTCCATCAGAAGCCTTGCTGTGGCCCACAGTACCTTCATTCTGGTCCCAGGTGGGTCCTGTCTGTCCATCACTCCAAATCCTGCACTTGCTAGAAGAAATAGAGGCAAAACATCTCAGCTGTTAATCTCCTGGTGTTCTCCCATGGGACATCATTAGTGTTACTTAAAAATGTTTGTCCATGCAGGCATCTGTTTGACCTCACAAGATGAATTTTTTAGCAAATTAGGTCAGAACAGTGAAACATTTCTAAGAATGACTTTGAATATTGCTGGCTTAGCTTTGGAGGGCCAGGAACAAGGCTGGAGCATAAAACAGTTTCCCAACCAGATGCTGGTTTTGAACAGTAAAACCCAGGCACAAACCAGAAGCACATTGCTCTGGTCACACTGGATGTCCTTCAGAATTTTAGTTTAACTTATAGGAAGAGCAGTAGCTAGAATTAATTCAGACTTTGCAAGAGAAATCTCTGGTTGGCACTTCCAGAAGCTTCTGATGGTCTTGTGGCTTGGAATAATGGATCTATTTTTTTTCTTCCTGAGTCCATCTTCCTTTCAGTAATGAAGTCCTTTTTTCTCCAACTCTGGATTTAAGTTACCTCTGCAATGCTGTGGTCAGTAAAGAGTGGTTTTGAGTGGTTGGGGTTTTTTAACCTACAGTTTCCTTGCCAAAGGTCCTTCTGGTGTGGAACAACCTAGCAGTACCATGTTGGTCTTAACACTTGGTGGAAGAGCAGCCCTGTGCAGCACACCACCTGTTTTGGTGCATGGAGTGTGGTTTCCTTCCTCATGCTACAGCAGGAAAGAAAGATGGAGCTTCCTCAACGTGTCTCCCCCTGCAGATAACGTCTCATGATCTTTAAGGCTGCCAGCAATAGAAATTAAAAGCTGTAAACCAGGAGTTCCTGTTGCTGTAGGCTTTTCCTCGATGGTTGCAGTGATGGCATTACCAGGTTTTATAGGTGCAGCAGAACTTGTGGAGCAGGGTTTATGTATGTGAGGACTCCCATCTCTTGCTGTGAAGGCCTTCCCATGGTGCTGGGTGGATGTGCTCTCTGTCAGTAGAGAGGCAGGTCTCACTTCAAGCTCCAGCCCATTTTCACTCTGCATAAAAACAGAATCATGATGGATATTGACTTTTTTTTTTCTTCCCCCTGAACCCCACTCTGAGGACACTTGTGCTCTAACCTGCTAACAGATTAGAAATAATCATTGTTCCATGAAAGAGAAAAGAACTTTTGCACTTTTTGGTGTCTTTGAATATTGAAAAATTGCAGACTGGAGTTATTCTCACCATAAATTCAGCACATGCCCTTGGTTCATGCAACACTTGCATAAGTCCCCCACGTTAGGGAGCCACATATTTTTATTTAAATGGGAGCATGGTAATGTGTTGCTATTCTGGTTTTCTTTCTGCATCCTCACTCCCAGGTTTTTCTCCCCAAACTGTTGCCTTCCCCTGGTTCAGGTCACACAGTATGCTGGTGACAATTCTCCACCCAGGTTCACAGGGTTGGGTGTAAACCCATCGCTCTTGTCTTAATGGTATCTGGATTTCTGAGACAGGGAGTCATCCGTGGCTTTCCTGGAGAAAGGGTTTGCAATGGGAAACAACTTGGGGTCATAAAGTCTTCAGCAGCACCAGAGTGACCCATTTTAAGCTCATTGGCATGTTGGTGGCATCAGGGCTTCCTTCCACCCCTCCCTGTTCTTCCCCAGTGCCGAGGCAGACAAGCCCAGCTCATTCCTTCATTCCATAGTGGTCACCACTCTCCTTTCTTCTCACCACTCATGATATCGTTGCTCACAGACTATTTCCATCAATGCACTTCATCAGTCAGCAGCCTTTGATGTGATGTATGATGACCTAATAATTTTTTTTTTTTTTTGGCTGAACAATTAATTACGTGGCATTTCTTACCCTTCCAGTCTTGGTGCAGAAGTGGAGACCAAATCCATGATTGGAGCAAGGGTTTCTGCTTTATCTGTTGTCTCTGTACCCCTAAAAGAGACCAGAAAGGAAAAACTTTTGATGTTGTAGGAAGAGAGTAAACAGAAAGTCTTTTTGGAGTATCTTATTCCCTGTAATTAGTCATAGTTTGGTTGTTCTTTCTTTTTATTTTAAAAAAGTTTTGTATATAACTTTTCTAGAAGAGTTTCTGAGCCCTGCTTTGGGATTCTGCTCGAAGAGTCCTTGGTACCAGTTCAGTGTGTTTTTCTTGCTGTTTCAGTAAGAGATCAGTCAAAGCAGGATAGAAAGATGAATGGAATTGTGTGCAATTAGGGTGCATGTTATATCCTACCCCTTCCTATTGATCTGTAAGCTGTTCCATCGCCTTTCTTTCTGTTTCCTGCTGCTTTCTTGCTTCGTTATTGAAGGGAGGATTCAGACCTATACAGGTAATTTCCACTCCTGGTTCTGCATGGCATAAGTGTCTCTCTCACTTGTATCATCACTCCGGTAGTGAATGCCTTAATGTTTGCTGCATATCTTACCTACTGAGTTTGAAGGTGGCCAAGGCTCCAGAGCAAGGTCTTCCAGTGCCATGAATGCCCCATACCATGGATGCTGATGCCTCTCCCAGCACGTAAGGGTGGAGAACAGAGCGTGTACCAGTGGGTTGCTTGGTTTCCTGGACGTAGGGCATCACTTCATGCAAACGTGGTGGAAGAGTTGGGTGCCACCCTGGAAGAGGTTGCCAGCTTTCTGAAAACAGAGAGGGCAAGACAGGGCACCTGGCACCAGTTTGTATAAGGGGATTGGCATGAGGCACCTCTGGTCTTTGTAAATAGCTGGATTTTTAGCTGTTCTGGAGGTAGATTGGAACAGTTGCCTTCAGTTTTCATTCCCCTGCTGTATTTATAAAGGTGGCTGTTGTGGCAGTCAGTCCACCTGATAAAAAATACATTTGACAAAAATCAATTTTCCTAACATTGACTCTGAAAGTTGGGCTGTGTAATTCCATAGGTACAAATGAAGAGTTACTGGAGTTTAAAGTTTCTTACCTTTGTTTTCTACCTTGTAGCACTGAAGGCTGTAGCACGATCTTGCTGTTTACAGGTGAACAGAAATTGTCCTGAAGTTTTCTGAACGCGTGGCAACCCTTTGAAAGTAGTACTGTAATTATAACAGTGTAATATTTTAAATCCTCTCCCAGAAAATCTGACCAGTTCTCTGCTTTTCTCTCCCTCCTCTCCCCCTTCCCTGCCCTAGTTTTTTCAGAGGCCTCAGATCCAGCCTCCAAGAGCCACCATCCAGAACAGCAGCCCTTCCATCCGTCCTGGTGCGCAAACGCCGACCGCGGTGTATCAAACCAACCAGCACATCATGATGGTCAATCATCTGCCAATGCCCTACCCGATGCCTCAGGGCCCCCAGTACTGTATCCCACAGGTAAAAACACATCACCCAGGCACCCGAGGAACCCCAAAGCAGCGTTTGCTCCCTCTGGATTTTCTCAAGACCTGCCACGGAGTTGAGCAGGGGGGTGAAATTAAGCTGGTGGTTGCATATTTAGCCTCTGCCCCTTTTTCTGGATGAAGTATTTGTGCTTCTGTGCGTGGAGGTAGGAGGAATAAATCACCTTCAAATCATAGTTTTTAAGGTCCCTCTCAAAACCAGCGTGAAACTAAGCTCTTGGAAAATATGCAGTGCTAGAAATGTATCTAAATGGACTTAATGGGTCTACAATTACTCTGAAGTCTTGGGCCTCAGAAAAATGTAATATTGCTGAAATCAGGAGAGCAACTGTTTTCCCCTTCAGCTCCATGTCTTATCTTTAGATGACAGAACTTGCCATTCCTGTGATTTTTTGACTGTGACATTGCTGAATCTGTGATTAATCAGTGTGATAATGAGATCCCTGTTGATTTGGGGAGATCAGTTACAGGCTCTATATGCCACAGCGTGAAGTTTCCCAACTCCTTGTGAACTGATGGTGTTTTTTTCTCCTCCCAGTATCGTCACAGTGGCCCTCCATATGTGGGGCCTCCCCAGCAGTATCCAGTTCAGCCACCAGGACCAGGACCTTTTTATCCAGGACCAGGTCCTGGAGAATTCCCCAATGCCTACGGTGAGTTCTGCTCGGAGATTTCTTACAAAGGGATTTTCTGGGTGTGTTTTTCTATTGTCAAGCTGAAGATTTATAATAGCAAAGTGGATTAGCATTTGTTTGAACTTCAAATAGCTGCTTGATTTGGTTGTGTCACAACCCTTATTATTCACTCCTGAAAAATTCACAATAACAGAGTGTTGTTTGTATCAGTGCTTAAGGAAAGGCTGCAACTCACAGAGCCACCCATAGTCACATGTGAGCAAGAGTGGTGGCTATTTGTTATTCTCTGCTCAATCACTGTTATTTATTAAGGTATTGTGAGTACATCTGGCAGCCCTGGTTTCTGTTGAGCTATGCCCTGAGTATATTCACAGCAGTGAATGTTTCTCATCCCCACATTCCTTGTTTTGGAGTTTAGTGAGGGAGGAGAACACACCATGTGGTTTGATTCACCAGTCTTACACTGCCAAGATCAAGCAGAAGAGTTTGTAACCTGTGCACAGGCTGAAATTTGCCTTTTTAATGGGCAGCTCCTGGTCTTGCCTTTTTTTCCAGCAGAAGGGTTGGGAGATTCCCCAGCCCTGATGTGTGTGCTGTGGTTGTTCAGTGCACTGTACTCAGGATATTTGATTGATTCCCCCATATATTGAGCTTCAAAGCTGCACCTAAAAATTCAAAGGCCACACATCCAGCTCTGGGCATCCTCCTGTCTGCATCTCAGCAGTCCTGGACTCCTCGAGGACCTTACAGCTGCCTCTTACTGGGGTCCCAGTTTGGAGGCCATGTGTAACCATGGGTGACTCTCTCACTGCCCAGTGATGCTTCTTCTATTGGCACTCATCTTTTACATAAAAGTAATTAAGTCCTTTCTTAATCATGTCCTTTCTTAATCATTTCCAGCCTGTTGCCCTGTACAGTGTCTATCCCACTTACATCACAGTCCCCTCTGAGGTTTTCTGTGGGATCTGGGTTTTGAAAGTTAAAACCAATCAGCTCCTCCAGGCTGTATTTGAAGGAGATGCAGATTTTAGGAATCTTGCAGTCAGCTGCATCACTTCTTGGGTTTTAGTTACCTTCCCCTGCTCACTTGTGGGAACACTGGAGTAATCCACCAGGATGATTCTAGTCATCACCCTGTCATGTGGGGGATTTTTTAAAGGGTTTTCACCTTTCTGTGTCAACTTGGAAGTACTTTATTCAGTCAAATTGCTCCCTGCTCATGCATATTCTCTATCAGTGGAGGGCAGAGATCCCATCAACTTTGTGTGGCTTCAGCTCTTGGTATTTCAGAGAAGTGAATGATGAACAGTTGACAGCCCAGTACTGCTGATGGAACTGCATGTTTGCTCTCCACAAGTATACATTCCTTTCAAAGGGGAGAAAAGCCTCAGTTGCTTCCCAACTTATCATTTTAAAAGGTCTGAACTGTTGGGTTTTTTTTTTTTTCACTTTTTTCTTTTGTTTAGTTTATTTCATTTATTGATTTGGTGCATATAAAGCTAATGGGACTACTCTGAAAGATGTCCATGAAGCATTCAAACCTGGTTATAAACTTTCTGAATAAAACAGGAGAGCACAATTTATAAGGCAGCTAGTTCCTGTTTATTTATCCAAGACAAAATGAAGAAATATTGCAATGGCTCTTTAAATCTGATCTGCTAAATGAGGAAATTATCCCATATTCCTCATTTTTTTTCTGCTGTTACAGGTCTGTTTTCTTACTTTCTGCTCACTCAGTGCCATTCGTTTGTCTTCACTTCTGTAATTTGGAAAGGGTTCCCTTCTGGTTTCTTCCCACTCCTGAAAGTGCCTGATGTCATGCACAGGGGCTTGTGCTCTTGCAGTCCCAGCTTGTTTTTAGGTTGCTGTGTCTGCAGAGCACCAGTGGGCAGAGCTGGAGCCCTGTGTCACCTCGAGCATTTTGCAGGAGGAGCAGGTTTAGCCAAGGAAGAGGATGAGGCCAGTGGGATGAGGTTCAACCAGGCCAAGGGGCAGGTCCTGCACATGGGTCACAACAACCCCCTGCAGCTCCAGGCTGGGGCAGAGGGGCTGGAAAGTGCCCAGTGGAAAAGGACCTGGGGGGATGGTCAGCAGGAGGCTGGAGATGAGGCAGCGTGTGCCCAAGTGGGGCACACTTCTGAAGTTGGATAATGTGTTTTCTCTGTTTGTCTCATTTTGGCAATTTCTTGTTTTCTGTTGTATCAGCCAGTTCCCACATTGCTTTGGGGAAGACCTTGAAATGATGGATGGAAAGGAGGGAGAATAAAACTTGGGTGCTGCTGGAAAGGATCAGAAGGCAGGGTGCCACACTGAAAATGCACTGGGCTTGTTGCCCCAGAAGCTGTTTCTTCCCAGAAGTTACTCTTGCTTTTTGGGATTTGCTTTCTTTAAAGCATTTTTCATAAAGGAAGAGTCTTTCCTGGAGTTAGGCTGCAACTCACTCTCTGACAGGGATCTCTTTACAGACTCTGATTAGATCTGGTTTCTAGGAAACTAGCAATCAAGATAATTAACACATTGCAAGGCTCCCAGGCTTCCTCCTGTCCTCTCAGTGCTGCAAACTCCTGTTGTGCACCTGGCCAGTGTGGCTAGTGATAGTCAGAAGAATCTGAGACTTCATCACTTTTCAAGGAGAGTTCTTGCTTCCCACGCCAGGGGGATGCTGCAGGAGACTTCTGTGCCCTGAGGCCAGATCTGAAGTCACGCTGGAGTTCACAAAGAGAAGTTTATTGAGTCATTGTGGCATCTGAGAGCAAATACACCAGGATGGAGCTTTTAGCAGCCTGATGCTCTTTGCTTCCAGCTATCCGCCTGCTACTGCAGCAGAGAAAAGTTCTTGCTGTGAACCTGCTCCCAGCTTCTGCTTTCTAGTTCATGGTTTTAGGATTGTTTCCTTTGAAGCTGCAAATCATGTTGTGCTGGGCTGCCTTCATTGGCTGTCCTGGATTTCAGCATTGGCTTGAGACAGTCAGAGCCTCCCATACTGGCTGTAGACACACAATAGAGATTTTCATTCCCATTTAAAGGTTAGTTCTGTTGAAAAATAGATGGAATTGCTCCAGACATGAGTGCAAGCAGGCAGTCTATCTAGCATCCATGCCTAGAAGGGCAAAAACCCAGCACCATCTTCCAGGTTCACCTGATCCACAGAGAGAAGACAACTCTGCTCTGTTGTCTTTATTTAAGTCTGGCACGTTTTTAAAGCACTCATCATTTTGAGCCAGTCTGATTCCATAAAGAAAAACATAATGAAAATATATTGGATATTAGGTAATCAACAGCGTGGGGTAATTCTGCAGTAATAACCATGGTCATGCTTTTTTTGTGTCCCATCCTGAGCAGAATATTGCTTGTAATTAAATTTTCTGGCACTACTTCAAAATAGGATGCATATGACCTCACAAATTCTTTGTTTGACTGAATTTCTCTCCAAAGGATGGGGGAAAAAAACCCAAACCACACAACAACAAACCCACCTGTTTGTCAGTCAGAGGAGTCCAAGGATGGGACACTTTTCACACCTTGGTGATTTCAGCAGCCTCTCCAAAATGGAAGCACGTGATCAGTTTTTCTGTTCAGGAGGAAAAAGAAGTAAAGTTGTGACTTAATCAGTTGCCTTTGTGGAGTAGCAGGTTCTGTTTTAGTGGAAGTGGGGAAGACCAAAACACAAACAGGTTGCCAGCTGGATGTTTAAGTTCTGATTTTGACAGTCAGGTGTTTTAAGTTCTGGTCTTTAAAGGGAGCAAGGAGTAGGTGTCAAGTTTTACCTCTTGTGCTTGATGTTCTTTCCTTAACAAATGAGCTGAATTTTCCACTCTTGTTTCTGTCTTGTCCTCCTCTCCCAGGAACACCTTTCTACCCAAGTCAGCCAGTGTATCAGTCTGCACCCATCATAGTGCCTACACAGCAGCAGCAGCCTCCACCAGCTAAAAGAGAGAAAAAAACGGTAGGTGATCATCTAACTGATCCATCCCTTCTGAGAAGTGTCCTGGTGCTAAGCTTGAAGGGAATTAATAACTGTCTTAAGCTTAAAAATGAGCTTTATCCTCACAGAGAGGCTGGGTCTTACCTTTCACACCCAAGTGTAATTAAACATTGCACAATCCTGCAACGTTTGACTTCCAGTTTTCTGTGGGGACTTTCTGCTCTGGGTTTGTGACATCTCAGCCACTCAAAAAGGAAAATTTTTTGGCTGGGTTTGTACTGAACATAAGTGGAAGAGGCATCATCTCCCTGAGCCTGGGATCCTCAGCTGCTTGTGCTGCTGCTTCGAGTGTAACCAAAGAGCCAGGTGGGACTGAACAAACTCAGATCAGTCTGGGAGACTGTTGGGAATTGGTCCAAATTGACAAAAAATAAATGGTTTGATATTATGCCTTGGACAAGCAAGTTGTGGACTTATCCACAGGCTTGAAAGAATCTGAACACACAATATCATGAAAGTAGGTAGAAATTTGGGGACCACACTTCTCTTACTAATTCACTAGTTAGAATTTAAGACACACTAATGGAATTTAAACCTGTTTGGAGGTGGAATAGTGAAGACACAAGAGCTGAATGTAATTTTTAAACAGAAAATGTTACGGGCAGACTTGAACTTCTGAATGAATCATTTCTAAATGCTTGAAAAGGAAATGACTTTACATCACTGTATGTGTTAGAGTGGTTGGAAAACTTTAAAAGAATTGTTTCCTGGGGGGAAAAAATACAGGACTTGTAAATGTCTCAACATGCAGAGTATTTGTATCTTTTGATTTTTGAAGATGATCTGAGGTGACACTTGATTTGTGGAACTGGAAGAGCTGGGCTTGCAAGAAAGGCCTTTTTTTGTAGCTGCTGTCAGCAAAGGGTGATCCAACACTTTTGCCACCTCTTCACCATCCTCTTCAAGTCCTGAGGAGCCTTTTTTCAGCATCCCAAACACAACATGGCCACATCATTAATGCTGTTTGAAATGCAGAGACGTTCAGAGACGCTCAAGTGTGGTTCAGACAGCTTCATGCTGATGAAACAAAGTTCTTTGAAGTGGAAAAGCAAAAGGTTTTTTTTTTAAATGCTTGAGATGTTTTTTCTGCATGTACTATTTCAGTTTGCTAATTGATGTCACAACTGAAGAAATGAGAGAAATTAAGGAAAAATTACATGGCTATATGTACACGCACCATTAGTTGAGTATTGGAGTAGTACAAGCTTTCAGGCAGGGAAAGTGTGTTTTAATGCTGTTGATTACTTGTCAGGAGGAGGAGAGGGTAGGAATCTGTGCCAACTCTTAAGTCCCTGTTGCTGTGGTTAATTAAGAGTTTCAGCAGAAAAACTCCATTAAAAACACGAGGAGACCACATCTTGTCAACATCCTGAGTACCATGTGTATATTCATTTGTCTTCATAACCCAAAGAATCAAGAAGACATCACATGATGCTGAAGCTGATAAATCACAAAACCTTTCTGCAATTAGTGACTTTTTATGTAGCTGAGTGAAAAATTGACAGTGGATTGCAGTGAGATCCCTGCCCTTGGCAGGATGGCATCTCTGGGTTTGCTCCTGGTAGTACCTTGTGCTCAGCCCAGCAGGGACCCCTGCATGCCATTTGTATGGAGTTCAACCAAGAAAGAGCTCGTGGGAAGGTGGACAGGCAAGGCTAGCACTGCCTTGAGGTTTAGCAAAGTGTTTAATTCTTATATTGAAGATTAAAAGCTCTGTTCCAAGTTAAGCCCCACAGCTGTTCCCCATGTTCAGTGACACAGCTTGGCTCAGGTGGCAGCTGAGGGTTCAAATGGGTGAGTTCTTGAGTTGTTTAGTTTGGAAGATTATTTTTCTCTGCCATTCTGGGGGCTCTGAAGGGACTCAAAGCAGACTTGTTCCCTAAACACTGATGAGCTTCATGGGACCTCAGTTTGCTCCTCCTGCAGTTTCCCTTTCCTCCACTCACTACTTTTGGTTTGATTCCCTGTTTTGCTGATATGACTTTTCTCAGTGTGGAAGGGAAAAACAGAAAGAGCTGCTCTGCTTTCCCCCATCACCAGCTACTGGGTCAGCTGCAAGGTCATGGAATTTCATATCAGGGTAGAACATGGCCTTTTTTTTTTTTGTTCTTGCACTTTCCACTGCCTGGCAAACTGAGTTCTGTAGCTAAACTCAGCTAAATTTTCTAAGCTGTAGTAAACTGACTTTCCAGAAGTAGAGATGATGTTGCAGAAGTAGGCACCTAGATGTGGCCTAGAAGAAAGCTGGGGAGGGACTTTTTACAAGGGCTTATAGTTACAGGATGAGCTGTAATGGAAGGGGGGAGATTTGGATTAGAAATTGGGAAGAAGTTCTTAGGTAGGAGACTGGTGAGACACTGTCACCTGAGTGACCTGAGCATCAGCTCAGCCCAGAGCAGCTCCTGCTGAGTGTAACGACATTATGTCCTGTCCCTGCTCTCCTCCCCATAAACCCCCAGGACAGCCTGTAACAGGGAGATGTGTTTCAATTCTTTCTCTGCTCAATCTCCTAGATCCGAATCCGGGATCCAAACCAGGGAGGCAAAGATATAACAGAAGAAATAATGTCTGGAGGGGGCAGCAGGAACCCAACGCCCCCCATCGTGAGACCCACTTCCACACCTACTCCACCTCAGGTAATAACGTGGCTGTGTCACCTCCTCCTGGTGGTGTCTGCTTTGCTTTGCTGTTTGCTAGAGCCAGTTCCTGGGTGTTCCACCACCAATTGCCTCAGACACCTGGATGGTCCTAAATTGGCAGTGTTCTTCAAGGATCTTTTGTTTTTCCTCTCCAAATTTGGTCATTTTTATCAGCCTGTAGATGTAAAATGTGGAGCTGCAAGTTCCCCATCCCTCATTTACTATCAGCAGTAGATTTTAGAGTTTGTAAAGACTCTTGGTGTTAAAGGAGGAGCCAATATATTTGTGAGAAACGTGGCATTTCTGTTAGTCTCGTGTTCCTGAGGAAAGTCCTTATCATGCATGTGATGGATTATCTACCCGCAGTTGCATCACTGTCCATACTAATGTCTTCCTGCTCTAGTAGTGATTTTTTTAGAGTTACAACCACCATGACTGTAGCTCAGGAATTTTATCACAGAACTGTGATAAATCTACCACAGATTTGGCCTCTGCGTGTTCAACCTTAAAAATGCATTTTTCAGATGTAGGAAAAAACATAAATATCCCAAACTGACATTTCCCATAGCTCATAAATCTTCTCTTGTCACATGCCTTTGAGTTTGACCCCTTCTAAATCTCTGTCCTGCTTCACCTGAGAAATCCATGTGTAACATCTGGAAATCTATCTGACTGGAAATCCAGGTCTGTCCTAGTCCTTTTTGACCCAGGGCCAAAAGAGCACGCTCAGGCTTGCAGACAGCAGTCCTGATGTGAACATAAGTCCACCATGATGTGAACTGCTGGGGCTGGAAGTGGCTGAGAAAATAATTTCTGTCCTCTGACCACTTTTCCCCACCCACAGCATGAAGAAGCAATGCCTCCTTGATCTTCCCATAGCATCAGAGATGGAGAGAAGGTGCATGGAAGCACCTGGCCTCAGGGCACTCCACTGGACTCTCTCCAGTAGTTCCTTGTCCCTCTCTAACTGGGGAGCCCAGAGCTGGGCACAGTCCTTCAGATGTGGCCTCCCTAGGGCAGAGTAGAGGGGCAGGAGAACCTCCCTTGGCTCATGGGCAACTTGTTGCCCACCAGCACTTCCAGGTCCTTCTCCATGGAGCTGCTTCCCAGCAGGTCACCCCTCACCTGTACTGGTGCAGGGGATTGTTCCTCCCTAAAGGGGGTTCTCCAGGTGATGGGTGGACTTCAGGTCAGAGCCTGTGAGGCTGAGGTGCAATTTCTTCTTCCAGGTTCTTCCCTCTTTAAATGTTACCAGTTTTTGTGAGCTTTTAGGTGAAACAGCCTTTTCTGAGCTGAAACCATACTTTCCCCTCTGTGCCTGGGTAGTTTTTGTGCTGAGATGAAAGCACAGGTTTGTCTTGAGACACCCACTGTGGTGGCAAAGGAGCTTGAGGTTACAGCTGAGCCAGTAAAAGTGTAACTGGGATTGCTGAGATGAAACAAGAGCCTGGCCTGCAGGTCTCCCTTGGAGCTTTTGGCCATTCCCCTGGTTCAGTCGAATCCTTTTGTTGCCTGAAGGCATCTCCACGTGCTCTGGGTCACCTGCTTTCCCCTCCTGCTGTCCCTCGTGGGCAGGCACCGTGCTCGAGCAGTTCCCAGCTAGCCCCGGGTTTGAACAAGGTCTGCAACGCTCGACTGGAAAAAGCTGTTTTCCTGCCAGGGAGCAGCCTCGTGATCTGTGTCTGCAGCTGGAGGGGGAGAGAAAAGAGATCTGGTTACCTCTAGAATCCATCTAACTTCTTTCCAAGCATTTTCCACAGGAGAAGATCCTAGTGCTGTCAAATGTTTGAACACCGGTGAGATCTTCCCATTACTTCCCACTAAATGACTTTCCCCCTTAGAAGTGGGGAAGAGCTGAAAACAGCCAGGGTTTCCCATTGTCTTTATGCCATGCTGCAGCTAATCCCAGCAATTCCCAGCTCTGAAATCTATTTTAAGATGCTTCAATTAAGTCAAACAGGACAAAATAAACGTTTTTCAAGCGGAGGTTAATAAACATGAATTTTTATCAGCTGTAATTTGTATGCAGAGCACAGCAGTGAGGTCCAATCATCTCCTTTCAGTAAGGTATGCAAATACTTCATTGTTTAATATCCAGCCTTCAGTTTGATGAGGTACTTGGAACCACTTTTGTTAATCACAGAAGAGCTCTGCAATAGTGCTCACTAGAAAAAGTTCATTAGTGTAACATAACTGGAAATTTCAGCCCACTTAAGCCAAGAAATCCAAAGTTATTGTCCCAACAGCACCTCTAATTAATTTCTTTGGAGCAAGTGGGTGAAATTAGATGGTGCCTTAATAACTGTGGTCAGTGGCTTAATTCCAGTAATGGTGGATGTTTTAATTTTGAACAGTCTAAAAATCAATAACATTTAAATATTCAGCAATAACTTGGCTTGAAACACACTGGGGCTTTTCGTATTCCCTTTCCCCAGCTGATGAAAGCTGTGAGCAGTCCATGTGAGCTTCCCAGGAAAGTTCCTGCCCATTGAAATCTAATCAAAATGACTCCCAGTCCAATGGTATTTCAGAAGTATGCTGAATTCTGGTAACACTTCTTTTATTTTGATGCCCAGTATTTCATTCTGCAATCTCGTTACTGAAATGACACAAGCACAGAGGGAGAAACTTGCTCCAGAAGCACCTGGAGAAACCACTGCTGTAGAGCAGTCCCTGTCCCAAATGCTACATTTGATAAAGAAGCCATTTTATAGTAATAATAGGTTTCAAAATGTTCCATTTTTTTCCTTTAGATTTGGATTATTTTTTTTTTTTAGCTAACTCAAAAGAAAACCACGGTAGGATAGAACAATACAGAGCAATTCTTGCAGCATCATAAACCACCAGAGCAATTCTGAGTGAGGTTATTTCCTAGAAAATCTCTAAATGCTCTGTTTTAAAGCTGGGAGCTTGTAAGGTCAGTATTTAAGTACTATTTATATTGCTTTGCAATATCATTCCCACAAAAATTAATGTTTTCCAGCTCTCTTAAGAAAACGTGTTTCCTGACCCAGGGAGTTTCTAGGCTTCCAGGTTTCTTGTCCACCAGTCTCGTTTGGTTCCTGTGATTCTTGCCACTTTCTCCTTTTCCCCCACTGCTTTCGGCCATAAATTTTTCATAAAATGACACTTAACATTCTGCTGAGGGTGAGTGGAAAGCATCAAAACCTGCTTTTTTTGTAAAACAGGGTTTTCTTTGGCTTCCTTCAGCTCTGGCTGTTCACAGGGATGTGATTCTCCTTCCATAGTCCAGTTGAACTTATTGGGCTTATTCCTGGAAGAGGAGCAATCCCAAATAAAATTTCAACTCTTCACCCCACTTACTTAAGAGTGTTGTTTTGACTTTTCCAGATGCACTTTTTCACAGCTGTCCTTAACCTTTCTGTTACCTGAAATGGTGAAAAACAGGATATTGGAGGATAATTCAGTCTTTATTCTGTGCTGTTCAGATGCAACAGCTGAAAAAGCTGAAAATGGGAGGGGAAAAAAAAAGAGTTCCTGGGAGAGAAGCAGGTTGTCAGAGAGATTCTTTTTTGAGGGAGATAACTTTTGCATGGATTTCTGATGGCCTGTAAAAGAAGGAATTAGACACCCATGTCTTGGGCACTCTGCTTTATTTTGGTTGTTTAAAAATCCCTTTTCCTGTAGACCTTCTGCAAGGTCAGCATGGGTAGGTAAGAGCAGCCACCTGCACAGAGCTGGGTGGCTTTCCTCTTCAGAGTACTGAGCTTAAATTTAGCCCCATGTTCTGCCTTGGTGTGTGTTTAAGGGAGTTCTGCAATGTTGAGCAGCTGAGTTACCCCATTTGTGTTCACTCTTAACGTTCACTAGTGCTTTACCTGTAAGCCTGGTGTGGTTATTTAGGCTTACACAAGGTCCTCCTTAAACTCTGAGATAAAATCCAAGGGATTTTTTTTGGGGGGGGGTCTTTATTGAACCTTCATGAACACAAGCAAAGTGTTTATCCCATTAGCGATGGGGACGTAATTAAAGTCTGTGGTCTCTGCCACAGGCTGTGGCTTTTTCAGCCTTGTGACTTGGCTGCTCTTGCAGTTTTGGTTTTATATCTAGCAAATCTCAGGCTCACTCCGTGTTGATGGGGAACCAGCTCCTCCTGCTCCCCTTTAGACTGATGCACAGTGGGGTTTATTCTCATCGTACCCAGCAGGTACCATCCGTAAGTCTGTTTGTAGAAGGCATTGGATGTTTTTTTCATAGGACCACACAGGTATAACCAGTCTGGATTATGTCTAGCTATAAATAAATCTAGAAACATTAAATATATATAAAAATATTAAAGAGGTTTGAAATAACTGATCAGTGGAGAAAAGAAACTGAAATTACAGGGAGGTCCAGGAGACTTTTGGGGTTTGTTTGACATTTTGCAAACTACAGAGAAGCATTTCTGCTGCTCTTGGAGAAAGGACTTGGAGAATGAAGTGTGTTCATAACTGTGCTGTGCTGTCCCTGTCTTGCTGTCAACAGTAATTGGCTCTTTCCCCTTCTCCTGCCCCTTTTCCTCCCACCCTCTATGTCCTTTTTGACTTTTTTCAATCAATCTGTGTATCTTTTCTCTCTATTTTCCCAACCTTTGATTTGTCTTCTCTACCCCACCCTACTCTCATCTCCCCACTTGCTCGTGCTGCTAGTTTTTCTGTTCATATGCTCATCACCACCCTTTTCTGTACTTGAAATCCCAGCAGCTGTCCAGCCAGGTCCCTGAGCACAGCCCTGTGGTCTATGGGACTGTGGAGAACACCCACCTCGCTGCCAGCACCCCTGTCACTGCGACCAGCAACCCCAAGCAAGGTTTGTTGATGAATATCTTCTTCCTGATTATTTTTAGTCTTTTTTTTCCTCTCCTTTCTTGTTTTAGTTTCAGTATTTTTGGCATGGAAACAAGCAGGCAGCAGCAATAGGAGGGGAGGGACTTCTTTCCCTCCAGTGGAACATTTTAACAATGCGTTGCTAAGGGAATTAATTGAAATTTGCCAACGTGAAAATGCTTTAAAATAATGACATTCAGGCTTTAATGTCCTAAAGGTTGTTTCAGAGCACCTAGAAGTGCGAAACTTCTCTTACCCAGATGCTGTCCTTCAGAAAGAAATGTGGTCTCAGTGTAACACTTTATATCATTTGGACAGTTAGCCGTAGCAATGGCACATAACCAGAGCATCGTATGGCTCCTCCAGAGCTGCTTGTGTGCCCTGCAAGACATGGGCAATATTAATTGGGAGAAATTCCCTCATTAGTCTGAAAAGTGTCTCACAAAGAGCATAGCAAATTTTGGTGACTTTAGCAAAAATGGCACAGATGGAAGAAGTTCCTCGAGGTGATCATGTTGTCTTCTTGTATCTAAGAATATTTGAAGGGAGATTTTTTCCAAGCCATTCAAAGAAAAGATGTCCCAGGAGGGGAGATGGAGTGTGCCAAGTCTCTTCCCACACTCGAATTTTCCAGTCACCTAAAAGTCATTAAAGAGCTGTTGTTAATAACGTGTGCACTGTAATGGGATGGGTCTTGGAATAGTCCTGACACTGGTCTTTGCTCCCTGGTTATTCCCTGAAGACACTGCTGTCTAGAAATGGTTGAAAAGGGATCTTTTGGAGATCACCTGGGCTCACCCCCACTGGAAGCAGGACTATGGCTTTGTCTGGTTCTTTGTGCTAAACCCAGGTGTCTGTTGCCTGGAGAAGTTGTGGGTAGGTTTAACGTGTATCAAACCGACTGTGACGGTGCTGGCTGCTCATGGGCTTGTTGCTGCTCAGCTCCAGCACAGCCACTCTGCCTGGTCCCTGTCCCTGTCCCCCCTCTGCCAACGTGCCCAGCTCCTGCTCATTGCTGGGGCACGCTCTGAGCACATGAGGTGTGTGGTGCCACTGGGACTTGGACAACTGATGATGCTGAACCATAAAATCGAGCACCTACCTCAACCCTGGGTGTGAAAACTTGTATTCCCCAGACAAGTGAGTCTTGTCTCTCATCCATCTCTCTTTAACTTAATCCCTTCACAGGCAACTGTAAGTAAACTGGAAGTAAGTGGTTCTTAGTTACATAGGTCTGACTGTGCTGGTTTAAATAGAAATCAGGGCTCGAACTGGGATTTAACACTGATGAGCTTTCCTGTGTTTGTCTCTCTTCCATCCCAGAAAGATTCAAACATTTGTTCCAGTCCAAAAATTGCTAAAGAGCACGTTTATGTAAGTGTTGGAGAGAAAGAGCAAGCCCTGAGCTAACACCATTAGTGGTCGACTGTGGCCTCGGGCTGGGGGAGAGCAGCAGCGGTGGCAGTCACAGCACAGAGCGAGTTAAGGGTGAAGGAAGTTTTGACACCATTAATATTATTTATTTAAACCAAGCTGGTGACTTGGGAAGGGCACAAATTTCCAGCAACACATGCCAAGGGATCAAAATCATTTTTCACTCCGTGCTTGGTGTCGAGGGTTTTTTTGTTCCAAATTAAAAATAGTCGTAGATAGGGTTGTGCTTTCTTAAGCGTTAATTAAAACTAATATTATTGCTTCCCTTAAGACCCCTCCATGGGGCTCATCCCACAGATCAGAGTCTCCCTTGTGCCCTTCACTTGGTGTGCTCCTTTGCATCAAAGCTGGGTGGAAAGCTGTCCTCCTTTTGCAGCATTCAGTGATCCTTTTGCAGTCCTTTATAACCACCTGCAGCCTTTGGCCCCCTCGCTGGGTTGGGAGTGGAGCACGTGCTGTGCCAGCAGCCCCAGCCTCTGCTGTTCCTCCCTGCCAGCACCTGCAATCCCTGGGATTTTTATACTGAAATCACCAGCGAGGCTGAATTTGGGATAGTGTCATGTTTAACATCCTTCTTTCTTCCTTCAAAGACAAGCGTTTGGCGTTCGCTGCTTTTAAAGCAGCTCCTGGTTTTTCAGGCTTCATGTGGAGGTAAAGGAATTGTGACTGTAATACCTTGTCAAGGGGCATTATTTGGGGACAGGCAGTTGGCTGTGGTTCCTATAGGTGCCCCTGGGGCATATAGATCAGCCAGGGTGCAGCAGGAGAGGAGATTGCTGGAGGGTCCAGGGCAGGCTGGTGGCAGAGCGTGCAGGAAGCTGGCTGCAGGCCAGCCTGGGGCAGGAGCTCTAACGGGGTATAATTGGGCATGAAATCAGAGCTGTCATAATCACCGACGTCGGAAAAGGTCTCTAAGATCAAATCCAACCATCACCCAACATCTACCATGACCATTAAACCACATTTCCTCACCTCGCACAGGTTCAGGGGGACATTTGGAGTATTACTGTGTTGGTTTTTTTATTAATTTTAAACCTCTTCCCAAATCCTGTGATGTGTCAGACGTGGAGAATGCACAACACAATTTACGGAAAACAGATTCATGTCAGATCCTGAAGTCTGGAAAACTTTCAGCCCCTCCACTGCCACGATGACTCAGTAACGTGTGTTCCCAGAGCTGCCCGTGGAGCCGGCGTCCACCCCACCTTGTGAATCTTTGAATCCAGACAAAAGATGGAAAACTGGCAGCAAGCCCAGCGATTATTTTCAGATAAGCACCACAAAGCAGAAACAAATTCCCGTATCCAGTAAAATCTTCCTCATCCACTGCTCGGGGCAATGTTTGCCACCATGACCACCCAGCAAGCCAGCTCCCTCTCTGGCTTTGATGTCTTTGCATGGAGGAGAGAGCAAGAATCTGTCCTGCTGAGTCTGTGGAAGTTCTTCTAATTAAGAGGAATTTTGCAAGATTTGTATCTATCTCCAGATTTTCAAAAAAATGTATTGGTGGAGCCAGCTTTGCTCCTGAGCAGCCTCACACTGCCAGTAAATGCTTTCTAAATATAATGTAAGGAATGATCTTGGAGTTTTGAGGGAAAAAAAAGGGATCTGATGCAGTTTGGATGAATTGTGTTGATTTTTGTTGTCCCTTCCCAACTCTACATTGTTTCACAGGACTGTGTAATAATTGGCAGGGAAGAATATTCCTTTGCCAGGACTTTGAGATTTGTTCTCCACGATGGTTGTTCAAGTTAAGATTTACTGCATGTTATCCAAATCTGCTCGTGATTCTTCTGAAGTTCCCCCTCCTCAATTGAGTTTTCTCCTAGAATTTTGCACACACAGCCTCTATCGGTGTCTGAACAGATTGGCCAAATAAGGTGTAGTTTGAAGAAGTGTCTTCAACCCCTGGGTTTAAAATGCTGTTGTATATTTTGGCTGCGTTCTTTATCTCTCGGAATGTTTTTCTAGACACTTCAAATGCTTGTTGATTTCTTTTTTTTTTTTGAAGCAACCTCCTTTGACTCAAGGGAGAGAATATCCAGGCAGTTGTTTATAGCGAGCTGTAAATGTCAGGAATGCTCCATGAGTTGCCTGCAAAAGATGTTCCAGATATTGGAGGTGACGACTTTTCTTTTCTAAACCAGTTCCCAGGTCCTTTTCTCCTTCCATGGAGCCTTCAGAATCAAAATCAGCTGTTGGGATACTTTGTCCCATCTTTTTTCCTCACTTGTCATCCTCCTCCAAAGCCATCTCCCTGTGTGCCTCATTAAGTTGATAAACTACTGCTTTGGCTGTGGTCCTCACTGTAACGCTGCTGGGGCTGGCGGCAGCTGGAAGCAAAGTTCTTCATTGCTCCAGCTACTCCTGAAGATGAGACTTGATGCTTCAAGCAGTTTTGGATGAGTTCTTCAAAAACTCCTTTTCCTTCAGCCTTTCGGTTGAACAAGCCTCAAATGGAAAGCCAACAGAGCTGGAAAAGAGCAAGCAAAGCCACACCTCTTCAGCTCTCCTTGAATTTTGATGGGTTTGGGTTGGTTGTAGCCTTTGACTTCCTAATCTGAGCAGGGAGGTTCGTGTCACCAGCTCTTCCAGAATTGCTTTTTGCTGTCGTGGCAGTGTCCCAAAGGAGTTCCCTGTCCTTTCAGTGCTCAGAAGGCATTTTGCATTGATGGAGCAGAGCCCAGCTCCCTCCCCAAGGGTGGGTAAAGCTGACCTCATAACAGCAATCAGGAGCTGGGCTGTTGAGTCCCTGCCATCTGTACCTTGACTTTGAGTCACACCTTTCTCATCCATCTTGCAGAGTTGTAGCACAGAGACACTTTCCTAAGCAAGATCTTGCAGTCTACATCTTATCATCAAATTGGAGGTGGGAGAGGTTGTAGCAGAGATCCTGTAGAGCCTTGAGGCTCTTAGAAGATCTTAAAGGATCCCAAAAGTTCTTGGCTTGTACCTTGTTCAAAAGACGTGGGAGTAAGTGTGTGAAATGGAGTTGCAGCAGACCTTTAGGAGCTGTGCTGTGGTCGTGGCAGGGGTGGTGGTGCAAAGTCTGTTGCTACTCACAGGATAAGTAGAGGGACTTGTCTGCCTACAATATTTGGGGGTCAATTTGATACATGTGCATATTTTGCTGTGTTTTTCCCACCCTGCTTGATACGAGCATGCTGTTTTTTGGTGGCAACTGTGCTTAAACCCCTTCTTGGTTTTCCTTTCTCTGGGAGAAGATGTCTGCTGAAGTCTAGAATAAAGAAAAGGGGATTGTCTCCTTTAGTCTGATGTGCTGATGGAGTTGAGAAGTAACAAGTGGAAAAACAACCAGATGCATCTCACATGTTGGTAATGGTGTAACCTGTGGCATCCATAGAACAGCCCATTGTTGGTCATGGAGCAGCTTCCATATTCTTCAGATGGGGGGAACAGGAGCAGAGGGACCTGGAGGTTCCTGGTGCTCTACCAGTGTTTCTCTATGCCTGCATTTTGGAACATGAGTTTGCCCAGGTCTTGGTGTTCAAACCCGAAGCTCCTTTGAGGCATATCCAAGTGTGTTTTTGTCTTCTGTAAAGAAAAACTTTATTTTCAGCAGCAGTTTCTGCAAAAAGTGCACGTCTTGTAAGATGCATACAAACCTTTTCTCTAAAGGGTGGCCAGTTACTTCAGAGCCAGTTGAGAAAAATAGAAGCAGTGGTTACCTTTTCAGATTTGCCAGGTGCAGGCTGCCTGGACTTCCCCTTTAGATGCAAGGTTAGCTTCAGGTGCCTCTGGTGTCCTCCTTGGAGCTTCTGGGATAGTGAGCAGAACACAGGCAAGGGCAACCAAGGGGGCTTAGGTACAGCGAGGGAGGATGGAGCTGACTTGCTGTTGGTAACACTGTCTTTTCTTTCCCCTCTCCTTTCCCAGAAGAGAAGCCAAAACCAGATCCAGTATTAAAACCACCTTCACCAGTCCTCAGACCAGAACCTACTGTGGAGAAAAAAGATCAAGCTGGCCAGACGACCGAGGCCACCTCAGTGGAACCCCCCCCAGAACTCCCTCTGGCTCCGTCGCCGACGCCGGCCGCTCC